TCTATGTGTTATATCGTGTGCCCACTACCCAGTCAAATCATCTTTCGTTACCATATATTTGGCCCTCTTTACCCTTTACTACCCTCCCAGCCCCCTTCCCTCTGGCTGTTGTCTGTGTCTCTGAGTTTCCATACTGTTGTCTGTGTCTCTGGGTTTCAGTTTTATATTCCATATATGAGTGAAATCGTAGGTTCTTAGCTTTTTCTGTCTGACATTTCACGTAGCATAATGTTCTCATGGTCCATCCATGTTGTTGCAAAAGGCAGTATTTCATTTTTTCTTATGGCTGAGTAGTATTCCCTGGTATATATGTAATACATCTTCTTTGTCCAGTCATCTAGCAAAACACACTTTGGTTGTCTCCATGTCTTGGCCACAGTGAATAATGCTATAATGGACATAGGGGTGCATATATCTTTGCAAATTAATATTTTTTAGTTTTGGCGGTAGATACCCAGAAGGGGGATTGATGGGTCATATGGTAACTATTCTTAATATTTTAAGGGACTACCATACTATTTTCCACAGTGGTCGTACCAGTTTACATTCCCACCAGCAGTGAATGAGGGTTTTTTTTTCCTCCACAATTTCTCCAACACTTCTTATTACCTATCTTACTGATAATAGCCACTCTAACAGATGTGAGGTGGTATTTCATTGTAGCTTTGATAAACCAGAGTTGTATGGGCAAATAATTTTTGACCAAGGAGCCAAAAACACACAATGGAGAAAAGAAAGCCTTTTCAATAAATGGTGCTGGGAGAATTGGAAAGCCACATGCAAAAGAATGAAACTAGATTACAGTTTGTCACCTTGTTCAAAAGTTAGTTCAAAATGGATCAAAGACCTAAATGTAGGATCTGAAGAGAACATTTGATGACTGACTCCACCAGCAAGGGAAGTAAAGGTAAAAATGAGTGAATGGAACTATATCAAACTAAAAAGCTTCTGCATAGCAAAAGAAACCACCAACAAAACAAAAAGACAACCAACTGAATAGGAGATGATATTTGCAAACAATGGCTCAGGAAAGGGGGTTAATATCCAAAATACATAAAGAATTCATACAATTCAACACCAAACAAACAAATTATCCAATTAAAAAATGGGCAGAGGACCTGAATAGACACCTCTCCCAAGAAGACATACAAATGGCCATCAGATATATGAAAAGATTTTCAACTGCATTAGCTATTAGACATCTGCATTTATAAACAGCACCTCAAGTAATTCTAACATATAAGGGGAGACATAAACATTCATGTACTAAATTTTTTGAGACATATTTAAACCCATGATTTTCTTTATGAACTGTGACAGCTTGAAAAATTTTTATAGCAAATTGAGGAATGTCTCCTAGGCAAAGATGCACATTTGAAAACTGGTAGTGTGCATAGGACTTTTCATTTATTAGGTAATGGAACATCAATCCCGTGCCTCCTTCACAAACATTCTGAAAAAGTTATCATTAAATATTGGATTCCACAGCAGAATATTGATCTTATATATTGAAAAAGCTTCAACATATGATATTATTGTTTAGTTAAACATAGAGGGGTGGGCAACATTAGGTCTACAGTTGTGAGTATGTGAAACGCAGAGTATATTCTTGTGTTATTTATTAATTATTGTATTATCTATTGTATTACAACTGTTAACCTATTTCTTCCCACCCCTGTATTTTAATTCATAGTAATGATGTATATTTGCCCAATAAAATTGAGCTTAGAAAGTGTATGTAAGATACCCAGAGCACAATAAATCATGTTTCTGTCTGCTCTGCCACTGTACACACTTTCTATGTCCACGTCTTACTAATTTTATAAAATTAATACATGCTCATTAAAATATTTAAATGAGACCGAAACATGCTATGGCAAAACCCACATCCCCCACCTCACCATTTCCCTCTGCCTTTGTAAGAAAAACTGCTTAAAATGTTGAACGTGCCAAGCCATTTTTATGACATATACAAACTAAGCATCTTATATTTCTTCTTTATGTTCTCAAAACTCAGAAAGCTCAAAACCCACTAGGGAGACGTGCAGGGCTGCTGTGTGCAGAACGCCCGTCCCACCTGCCTGTCGCCACTGTCACTGCCCGCCTCTGCTCCCGAGCCCTCAGATGCTGTGATCATCGTTGCGGCATCTATCTACATCTGTGAAGTCCCATTAATTCTGAAAAAATGTGAGCTCTTCTGGCGCTCATTCATCATCCAGCTGTGCACTGAAAGAAATCATAATTAGGGATTGTATTAGCCTGTGAGTGGCGCCCAGGAAACTAGAATCAGAGTATAAGAGGGATTGATTAGGATTGAATATCTGTAGTCCTGGTTCTCAATCCTGGATGTACATTACCCTGATTTGGAGAGTCTGCACACACACACGCGCACATACACACACACATGCACACGCACATGCACTCATGGTGCTCAGGATATGAAGTTTTGACCAGCAGGGTATGAGATGTTGACCAGTGGAATAGAATGGAGAAACCTGCTGAACTTTGTTCTGGTTTTAAGCCCAGCCTTTCCCAAACATACACACACAACACATATTTTATTGAGAACCACTTTGAGCCAAGCCATGATCTAGGTACTGTGGATGGAAGGCTGTAAAAGGTCCCTGCTTTGGTGGAGTTTTGTCCTCTAGTGGGATAAGACAACCACATAAATAACAAACAGAAGAAGACCCCACCAAGGAGTAGTGTGAAGGGACTAAAACAGGAAGATAAGCAGGGGTGTCAGATACACCACGTCAGGAGCTGGCGTCAAGCGGCCTGTGTTGGGGACCCGTCTTGACCGAGGCCTGGAATGACAAGAGCAGCGGGGCGTGCAGGGGAGGAGGGAAGAACCTGCGGAGAGGCATGGACAGCCCTCAGCAGGACTGAGCTCGGTTTGCTCAGAGGGGTCCGCTGTGGCTGCAATGTCATGGACGATGTTGCCAAAGGCTCTGTATATTGGATAAGGAGTTTGGATTTTGTTCTAAGTGGTAACAGAAGTCGTGGGGGTAACATAGTTTAATTTACCTTTAAAAATCTTACTGACTGCCCTGGCCAGTTTGGCTCAGCGGTTAGAGCGTCGGCCTGCGGTCCGGAGAGACCCGGGTTCGGTTCCCGCTAAGGGCATGTACCTCGGTTGCAGTTTGTCCCCGGCCCTGGTCGGTCGTGCGGGTGGCAGCCACTCGATGTGTCCCTTCACGTCGATGTTTCTCTCTCTCTCTCCCTTCCTCTCTCCCTCCCACTCTATCTGTACAAAAAATGGAAAAATATCCTCGGGTGAGGATAAAAAAAAAAAATCTTACTGACTGCTTGGAGGAGAAGAGATTGGGAATGGGGATGGGGATGGGGACAAGGAACAGAAGAATAAAACAGTGAGGAAGAGGCCACAGAGGTGGTTCTGGTGAGAGAATGCTTTCTTGGTCACAATTGAGATAAAGAAAGATGCTCTGATGTTGGACGTGCTATGGAGCTGCTGTCACAGAACTGTCTGTGGTGTGTGCGCCTAAGAATTGGGTACATGGGGTACTGGGGGGTGGGGTGGCAGGAGGTAGAGAATTGACTGAAAAGGGGAATCAAATCCACCTAATTTGACTGTGAAACACACAACCTGTTATTTAAAAAAAAATTTTTTTTATTGATTTTAGAGAGAGAGAAAGAGAGAGGGAGAGAGAGAGATAGAAGCATTGATGAGAAAACATTGATTGGCCACCTCCTGCATGCCCCACACTGGGGATCTGACCCATAACCTGGGCATGTGCCCTGACTGGGAATCAAACCCGTGACCTCTTGGTGCACGGGTCGATGCTCAACCTGTAAGCCACACTGGCCAGGCCCAACCTGTTATTTTTTAAGTATCAGAAAATATTTTGGTAAATGCCGGTAAAGGGGTATTCATGAAGCAGAAAGAAAATAGGCAAACGAAGAAACTCCCTGCATGTTGGCATTCCTAAGGCACTTGCTTTGCCTGTGTAATCCACATGACATTGACAGTATTTTGTGATCCAGTTGTGGAGGAGAGAGACGAGGTACCATGAGCCTGAAAAAGACAGTACCATCATTCCTTATGTTGTTTCCATATGTGCTGATACAGTTAAATAAAACAAGGAGGAGGAGGAGCAGGAGGAGAAACAAAACTTTAGATTTGTGAGAACAACTTCTGCATCCTCCTAACTTCTTCCTCTAGGGAGCCTTGCGTGTGTCGTGCCGGAGGACATAAACCTGCATAGGGGTTACGTGCTGTGGTGTGTGGGTTTCCCAGGTGAGCTGTGTGTTAGGTACGTGCATCCTGTTACTGTGGTGGGAACGCAGCTCCTGATCATACTGTATAATAGCTTTACAAACGCCCGAGTTTTTTGTTTGTTTATTTCCCTACCTTTCTGACCTGCAGTTTGTGCTGGTTTAGCATCGTTCTCAAGGTCCTTCTAGCTTTCAAATTCTGGAGTCTGTAAGTCTAATTACAGGTTTTTCCAAATTATTATTGCTTCCAATTTCCCTTAACGATTTTTAATGTGCTTATCCAGCAGTGTGGTGAGGTTTAACAACCTGACATTAGAGTGTAGTTCTAATGAGTAAGATGAGAAAGTGAAACAAGAGATGTGTCATAACCTTACTTGTGCCTCAATGGTGTGAGCACCTTCTTTGCTGATCATGATTTTTGAATACTGATAGGAGATTTTTTCAAGTTTTTGTGCTATTCACGATGTTTTAAGTTTAATCTGCATTTTATAGAAACACACTTTATTGAGAGTATCACAGTTAAAAGCTGGCTTAATGGAGATGGTGGAATTTAAACTACTCCGACTATAAAGAGTAGTTTAGGTAGCAGTAACTCCTGTTGATGCGGAGACATTATGGCGTAACTGTGAATGTGATTTTCTTAAAGAAGTTAGCCATTGTTACAGCAAACAAGCAAATCAGGCACTGCTTGTAGCATTCGAGGTGGCAAGGTGAAACGGATGTACTTTGGGTACAATGATTTCCATCTTTCCCTTTTCTTCTAGGGATTTTCAGGAAATGCAAATGCAGACAGTGTTGTGTACTATAGACTCCAGCCTTCTATCAAAGCCAGATTCCTGCGCTTCATCCCTTTAGAGTGGAACCCCAAGGGCAGAATTGGACTGCGAATCGAGGTGTTTGGATGTTCATATAGTAAGTGTTTGTTTATCCAACACACTGAAATAGATATCAAAGGAGAAGTTTGAAGAGCTAAAGTCCATGCCGAAATTGACTTTACAGATATGTAAAGAGAGATTTAAAAAAAGGAATTATTTTTTCCCTTTTTATTGACTTTATTGGGGTGACACTGGTTAACAAAATTATACATGTTTCATGTGCACAACACATCATCTGTACACTGTATAGCGTGTGCACCACTCCAAGTCCAGTCTCCTTCCATCAGCATTTATCCCCCTTTACCCCACTCCAACCCCAGCAATCCTCACACTGTTGTCCATGAGTTTTTTCTCTATTTCTCTCATTCCCTGCCTTGTCCCCAGGAACCCCCAACCCTGACACCCTCGGCCTGCTGTCTATGGGTCTGCCTTTATTTTGCGTAATAGTTCATTAGATTCCACATACGAGTGAAATCATATGATACTTGTCTTTCTCTGACTGGTTTATTTTACTTAGCATAATGCTTTCCAGATCCATCCATGCTATGGCAAAAGGTAAGATTTCCTTTTTTACAGCTGAGTAATATTCCATTGTGTAAATATACCAAAGCTTTTTTTTATCTACTCATCTACTGATGGACACAGGCTGTTTCCAAATCTTTGCTATTGTAAATACTGCAATGAAGATAGAGGTGTATATATTCTGTCAAATGAGTGTTTCAGGTTTCTTTGGATATAGTTCCAGAAGTGGAATCACTGGGTCTTAAATCAGTTCCATTGTTAATTTTTTGAGGTAACGGCATACTGCTTTCCACAGTGGCTGCACCAGTCTGCATTCCCACCAACAGTGCAGGAGAGGGTTCCTTTTTCTCCACATCCCGCCAACACTTGTTGCATGTTGATTTGTTGATGATAAGCATCCTGACAGGTGTGAGATGCTATATCTCCAGGCAAGGGAAACAAAAGAAAAAATAGACAAACCTCAGAGGGAAGGAGGGGGTGGGAAGAGATAAACCAAAGAACTTATATGCGTATATGCACAACCAATGGACACAGACATTAGTGTGGTGAAGCGGGGGGGGGGGGGGGGGGGGGCAGGATCAATGAGGAGGGTGTCAACAGGGGAAAATGAGAGGACATCTGTAATACTTTCAACTATAAAGAAATTTAAAAAAAGAAATGGAACTACATCAAACTAAAAAGTGTTTGCACAGCTAAGGAAACCATCAACAAAATGAAAAGACAACCCACTGAATGGGAGAACATGTTCATCAATGACACATCTGATAAGGGGTTAATTTCCAAAGTTTATGAAGAATTTATAAAACTCAACACCAGATATATCAAACAATTCAAATAAAAAATGGGCAGAGGACCTTAATAGACACTTCGCCAAAGAGGACATACAGATGGCCCAAAGACATGTGAAAACATGCTCAATGTCTCTAATCATCCAAGAAATGCAAAAAGGAATTGTTTTGTGTGTGTGGAAAGCATTGTGTGTGCCCATACGCCAATACATCTTTTATATTTTAAATCAGAAATGGAAGCATTTGCCCTGCCCAGGTGGCTTAGTTGGTTGAAGCGTCACCCCAAACACCAACAGGTTGCAGGTTTGATTCTCGGTCAGGACACATACCTGGGTTGTGGGTTCAATCCCTGGTCGGGGCATATATGGGAGGCAACCAATTGATGTTTCTCACTGCAATATATTGGGATATTTCATTTGGGCACCCTAAATTTTGTAAAAGAGACAGTGTTCTATGTAGTATAACCTTTCATCTTTAGGAGACCAAAGAATGTTTTTTTTTTTTTTTTCTAGCCTAAAAATAAGACACCATGCAGCTCACTTATGCTATGCCCTCAGCGTAAATTCATAGGAGAGACCTGTGCCAAAATATAATCTGTGTTTGAAATACTTTCACATAAAAAAGATAGAAACCACAGATTTCACTTAGTCCCCTCTTAATGAAGCATTTGTATTATATCTTTTTGTGGGGAAAGGCCCTAAGAGTTATTGATAGCCTACCTCAAGCCTCACCATCCTGTGAAATGCTGTTTTATTATAGAGCGGTGAGTTTGTTAGTATGATCTACAGTCATCAGCTGAGCAGGCTGAGGTTTGGAGAGAGCCAGTGGTTCGCCCAGGATCTCACAGCTGGTACACAGAGAATCCAGGCCAGTTCGATTCCACGGCATCATTATTTCTCCAGGAAGCCTTTATTTATTTATTTAGCCACTAAAGCTTTCTTCACATGTATTTTATCACATTGTGACGTAAGTTAAGTTAGGATCTAGTTCACTATATTTGCACTCAAGGAAGGCACGTCATACGGAGGCCAAGCGACTTGTTGAGGTTGTCCCAACTGTGCGAGGCAGAGAACCCGTGTTGTCCGGATGGCACTCCTCAGTGATGTGCCCGGTGTCCCCTTCCACCAGCATGCATTCTGTCCCTGCCAGGACCTGCAGGATAGTAATCACAGTATTGATATCAGGAGTAACAATAAGAATAGCAATAGTACTAATATTGTTTTATCATTCTAAAAATAGCAAATTTTTCTTGAGTGCTTATTTATATATCTGCACGATAGTAAGCAGTCTGTTTATCATTCAAAAAATAGTCCAGATAAATATCATTAGATAACTGCCCCATTCCCTCACTTTGCAAATGAGGAGGCGAATGCCTGGAGGGGATGACTTACTGAAACTGCACAGCGAGGCAGGGACAGAGCTGGTGCACAGCCGGGCCCTGTGAGACAGAGCTGGTGCACAGCAGGGCCCCGTGAGGAAGGGACAGAGCTGGTGTGCAGCTGGGCCCCATGAGGCGGGGACAGAGCTGATGCACAGCTGGGCCCCCGTGAGGTGGGGACAGAGCTGGTGCACAGCCGGGCCCCATGAGGCAGGGACAGAGCTGGTGCACAGCCGGGCCCCGTGAGACGGGGACAGAGCTGATGCACAGCTGGGCCCCGTGAGGCGGGGACAGAGCTGATGCACAGCTGGGCCCCCGTGAGGCGGGGACAGAGCTGGCGCACAGCCGGTCCTCATGAGGCGGGGACAGAGCTGGTGGGCAGCCGGGCCCCATGACTCAGGGACAGAGCTGGTGCACAGCTGGGCCCCATGACTCAGTGACAGAGCTGGTGCACAGCCGGGCCCCGTGAGGTGGGGACAGAGCTGATGCACAGCCGGGCCCCATGAGGCGGGGACAGAGCTGGTGCGCAGACTGCAGAACCCCAGCTCACATTCCCTCCAGCTGCTGCATCCCAGCATGAGCCATGGGCCGCTTGCATCTCCCCATCTGCCCAACTTCCTGCCGGTTCTCTTGGCTTCAACAGTTAAGCGTAGCCGCTCCTGTTAGATGTTAATCCCTCTCTTCACAATTGTCCCACGTGAATGAAACCATCCCTAAGAAATGACCCCACCCCAAATTTCGATGCTGGTGCACACAGCCCAGTCTGTCCTATTTGTCTTTGGGTCACAGAGTTTAGCAAAGCCCATTGTTACGTGATGGACAATTTGCAAAACAAACTTCAAAATGTTTCATATTTACAATTACTTTCTCTCATTCAGAATATTTATTTATCACAGGATAATGAGAGCTAACAGTTATAGAGCACTTACTCTGTCATATCCAGTTTTTATAGACATTCTAATATAATCCTAAAAAATCACCCATTTAATAGAGTCTTAGAAATTACTTAGAAATGTTAAGTAATTTCTCCAGTAGTACACATTGAATACACATTCAGTCTAGGGTATAAATTCATCATTAGTTTCACGAGACTATTGATGCTGTTTTTCTAAAACTAAAACACCACTCATAATGGCCCTGTGTAAGGAGCTGCTGAGATATAGGTTCCTTTGAGTTCTCCGCTAACATGTGGTTAATGATAAGTCAACCCCCCACACACACACACACACTCTTATTGTTTTGAAACCCTGGGGAACATTCTTTTCACTGTGCCTTCATTTGCTGTCTCTTGGAGTGAGCACAATGTCCACGTCTTTAGTCCACCTCCTTTTTTTATGAATTAATTTTTTTAGAGCGAGATAGAAACATCCATGAGAGAAAACATCGACTGGCCACCTCCCACATGCCCCCCACTGGGGATCAGGCCCACAACCTGGGCATGTGCCTGACCGGGAATCGAACTGGCGAACTCTTGGTGCATGGGTCGACGCTCGAACACTGAGCCACACCAGCCAGGCAGGTCCGCCTTCTTCTTTCACTGACCCAAGTAGCAGTACTGGGAGCCAACATGACTTGAACACACGCAGTAAAATGATTTGATGGGAGTCAATGTAAAATGACTGTTGTATAATTTTGGGTAAAAGAGAAAAAGTAATACACTTAATGGAAAAAGACTCTCAGAGATTACCTAAAATAACCACAAAATGGGTCGGGTGTGAGTGCTTTATGGGATTGCATTTGATTGAATTGACTTTAATTCCTCTTTTACACCATAGTCACCCTTCTTCATAGCATCAGCCTTACATGATACTAGATAAACATCATTTATTAAACAGCTAACATGTGTCAGATACTCTTCATTCTGGGCATTTTCTGATTGACGTCTAACAACATTGTGAAGTAGAGCATGAGCGTTACTGTTCTGCGAGGAGGCAAGCAGAACTGCTGGCTGCGTGAGGCCTGTGGCTCGCTCTGGGTCGCCTGGCACCGACCCAGACGGGACCACTGGCATTCCCTTTCCTCAAGGACACAGCTGCAGCCCTGGCTGGTTTGGCTCAGCAGATGGGGCGTCGGCCTGCGGTCCGGAGAGACCCGGGTTCGGTTCCCATTTAGGGCACGTACCTCGGTTGCAGTTTGTCCCCGGCTCTGGTTGGGTCGTGTGGGTGGCAGCCACTCGATGTGTCCCTTTCACGTCGATGTTTCTCTCTCTCTCTCTCTCCCTCCCATTCTATCTGAACAAAATATCAAAAAATGTCCTCTGGTGAGGATAAAAAAAAAAGAACACAGCCACAGGATTCTGTCTGAAGGAGTCCCGATCCCGGATCACACTGGAGTTTTGCAGCTGCTCAA